TGTATGTTCAGATATTTCTATTGGCGGCAGATGGACTAAAGATGAAGCAAAAAATCATATAAATTACTTAGAATTATTAGCTGTCTTTTTGGCACTAAAGCCATTCTGTAAATTCCTAACACATAAACATGTTCAAATAAAATCTGATAATTCTTGTGCAGTTTCATTTATAAATAATATGGGTGGTTGTCAGTCATTAAAATGTGACAGCATTGCTAATGCTATATGGCAATGGTCCATAAAAAAGAACATTTGGTTGTCTGCTACTCATATTCCAGGTAAACATAATATAGCTGACTACAGTTCATGTGTATTCAAAGAGAATATTAATTGGAAACTTAATGAAAATATTTTTGAAAAAATTTCAACTTTTATTTGGTAAACCTGAAATTGACATGTTTGCGTCTAGGGTTAATACACAATTACCAAGATTTGATTCTTGGAAACCAGACCCAGGTGCAGACGATATAGATGCTTTTTCTGTATGTTGGGGTGATAAGATATTTATATGCTTTCCTTCCTTTCAGTTTGTTGGGAAGACTTGTACAGAAAGTTCGGCAGGACAAGGCCGAAGTATTGCTGATAGCACCGCTTTAGGTAACACAGAACTGGTTTACAACAGGGGCGGATACAGAACATGGTTTCCTGGGGGGGGCTGACATATGGGTGGAAGATTTTTATAAAAATAATGCAACAGGCGAAAATTGTGCATGTTTTAAGATAGGGGCAGCTTCTTGTCCATGTGACAAAAAATTGTAACTGATGTGTTGCTCATCTTATGAGTGGCAATGTACTTTTATTTATATATGTGTATACTAGTGTTTTTTTTTATTATTTAGATTATATGGAATGAAGAATAATATATGTGACTGGGGTGGGCCTGGGAGGGGTGTCCCCTCCCATGGATTGAGAAAATTTTGAAATATGAGGTTGTAAATGGTGTTATTTCCTTGACTTTCTTGTGCTGTTTATGGTACCTTTTGGATGGTTTAACATCACATTATATTTTGTATAGGTCAGTGTTTGCAAGGTCTTTCAAATAGAATTCCTCTGGTGTTTAGTAGTAAGCATTTACAAAATAACAGCACACTTAATTACCAATGTATGCATGACTGTAGATACAAAAAACTTCAAATACTTAATCAATTTTCTGATATGAATAATTAAAGTGGTATTAAAATACTGCCTTTCTATTGTACAAAAAAAAAATTCAAACACTAATATTCAATAAGAATTTTTTCCATCAATGAATCCAAAGGTCACTACAATTTAAATTTTATTTAAAAAATATAACTGTCATAAAAAGTTATTAAAATTAAGTAAATGACCAGTCATTTCATCTAGATAAAAATCTTAGTAAAACTAGTTATTAAAATGCGATTCCTCTAGTAGAGATGATAATAGACACTCTATTAATTTTCAAAGTTCAGAAAGATAACTATTCCAAATTCTCTGAGAATTCATCCTCTAGTGGACAAACTACATCTGATGGTATGTCGTATATCAGACAGACCTTTAAAAGCAGAAAACTTTCGGAACAATCTACAGATATCATCATGGCATCTTTGCGAAGATCAACCAAAAAGCAATATTCCACGTATATTAACAGATGGATTTTGTTCTGTCGTAAAAAACAGATGGATGCATTTCCAACCACTATAAGTGATGTTTGTGAGTTTTTAACAGAGCTTTATAATCAAGGTTACAGTTATGAGACTATTAATACAGCATGTAGTGCACTTTCTTCTTTATGTGTTTTACAAGATAATTTTACAGTTGGATCTCATCCATTGGTTGTAAAATTTATGACTGGAGTATTCAATTTACGTCCTACGAAACCAAAATACACAGAAACATGGGATGTGAGTAAAGTTTTGTGTTACTTAAAGCAGTTCTCTCCTGATAAGGATATTTCTTTGAAGATGTTGACTTTTAAATTAGTGATGCTGGTAGAATTAACTTAAGAGCAAGTCGTTCTAGTTCAATAAGTTTGTTAACTCTTGAAAATTTAAAGAAAGATGAACATTCATTTACATTGTATTATAGTGGGTTATTAAAACAAAGTAAAAAAGGAAGACTTAATCCTGTTGCAAAGTTTAGTATGTATACTCCAGACAGGAGAATTTGTATATACGAGGGGTTATCCAAAAATTCGTGGACTTTCTTTGTTGCGTAAAATAAACTTGAGATATTAATTTGAAATTCTTATACTGCTTAGAAGATTCAATAACAAATAAACACAGAAAAATTTATGTGAGTAGCTTCTAACATTACAACAATATTTAATTTTACATAAACACATGTCGGCGACAGCGGCGCACTCCAAAAAGTAATTGATGTCAACGTCATTATATTAACGTTCAACTTGTGCTTCAACGTCACGCAGTCAATGACGGTTACTGCTTCTCAAAGTAATGCCCATCACTATTTTTTTATGTCACTTTAACACTAATGATCGTGACAATTTCTTTTCTCTGTTCGTCTGCTGATTTTTTAAAATGTTTTTGTAGGTGTCATTTCAAAATTACAACAAAAATTTATGATTGTTTATGATCGTGCGATTTTCTAATTACCGCGTGTCCGTCATTTTTCCGTTGTAAACAATAAAGGCGTCTGGCGTTTCTAGCGATATCAACAAAAATAAACGGAACAGACTTCCATTATTTTAAAGAATTACTTAAATGACATCATAGAAGAAACATGCAATGTTCAGCGGGTTTTCTACGTTAACTTTTTAGTTTTTTAGCAAAAAATATACGGTGAGTTACTGCGCTTTTCTACCGTGCGCCGGGTGCCGTGTATGTGCTTATTTAAAAGCAATATAAAATCATTATTTATTGACACAATTATCTGCTCCTTTCAAAATGTGTTGATAATAGTCTACAATGTATGCTGATAAATTTTCATTAAAATACATGTTGAGGTTCAAGAGATATTTAAAAAGTCCACGAATTTTTGGATAACCCCTCGTATAATGTATTAGAAGAATATATTCACAGAACTTATTCTTTACGTGGGAATGAAAAAAGACTTTTTATTAGTTATGTTAAACCCTACAAAGCAGTAACATCTTCTACTATAAGCTGTTGGTTAAAAAACATTATGTCCTGTGCAGGGATAGATACAACAAAATCCAAATCACATAGCATCCGTAGTGCTTCTGTTTCAAAAGCCAAGTTACAAGATGTTCCAATACAAGAAATCATGCAGGTAGCTGCATGGTTGGTCTAGTGATAAAACCTTTGCTGAGTATTATGACAAGCCTGTTCAGCTTAATACAATTATTATGATGTGCCTTTTTTCTTATATAAAATTATGTAATACATCATAATTAATAATCGTATAAATAAAATAGGTAAAATGTTTTAAAAATACATTTTGTTAAATTTTAACTTAAATAGTTAAAATTAATATCAAAATTTTTGTCTTTAAACATAGATTTCAAATATTTCAGGTTTAATTTTCTATTATGAACTTTGTTATTTGGTGGTATTTAATCATAAATTTTGGAATTCTAAACATTTTCAATTGTTATTTTTGGCAAATGGCTTCCATTAGCACCTTTTGTTCTGTAAAGGATGTTTGTCATTGTGTTAACTTGTTGGCTTTTAATAAGCTGATAGGTTATCACCTTGTTTAGCATTAACATAAAATTACTAGAAAAACACCAAAGCTGAGAGATTTCTCAGTTCAAATGGCACCTCCCACTCTTCAACTTTGTGACAATCTTGATTTCTGGACCAATCATCACAAACCAGGTTCAGGAAGAACCAATTGTATGTTGTACTAGAAACGAAGACAAGTTTTAAAATAAGGAAATTTTGGAGCCAAAGTATCATTCTGATGCGATACTTTGGACATAATAAATTTGTTATTAATTAAAATACTGTCTTCGTCATTTCAAGGCAAAAACGACTCCGACCTATATAGGTACCGCCCCGGGCTCATCGTCGGCCCAGTTGCTTGCGTGCGTAATAAACACCTCAAAAAACCTTTGATAAGGCAGTGCTACAGTAATGTTACATACAGTATGTAAGTAAGATATATATTCACATTTTATTTAATTGATTACATGATACTGTATGAAAGTATGTCAAAAAAGGTTTGTCTATGCTTTAAAGTCTCATTTGATAATGGAAGTTGTATGACGTAAAAGAATCCCCCAAACAAACAAGACTTACCTGGAAGTTGATGTTTGGTTGTGACTCTTTGTAGTCATATTACAACAGGATCAAATGCCCACCCTATGAAATTGACCCTCCCAGAAACATTTGTTAAATGTTTCAATAGTTATAATTTACAAATATATGATTTTAAACTGGATAACAGTATTTGTATATTTGATCCAGATTTTAGACAAAACCTTTTTTGTGAAGCTTTAAATACTGATTGTCACGGTCATGGTTAGCTCGCATCTCATTTGATCCCCTCCAGTTGTTATATGACTACAAAGAATCACAACCAAACATCAACTTCCAGGTAAGTCTTGTTTGTTTGGGGGATTTTATGTCATCAATATATCAATGTGCCAATTTATGGGGAAAGATGAAAAAAACCTTTGCTTTTTGTTTACATTTGCGTTAGAAACTTTGATGAAGGTACTGTGTAAGTGGATATTGCTACGTGTAGAAAAGTTTGCGAATTTAAAATTCCAAATATTTCGCGCAAGGAAATATAAGGGGGTCGTGGAAGGGTAAAATTTAATGACAGGTTGGTTGATATTTACGCTAGAGAAAATTTAATCGATTTTCATCAAGTTGTGAAATATACCAATATTTCCAATTATTGCCAATTATTTTTCATCAATATAATGTAGTGGTTTTTAATTCTGCTAGAATAACTTTAAAAATGCATGACAAAAATATTTTTCGATATCCTTATTACTACAAAACATTTAATAGATGAGTCGGCTACAAAATTTTACGAAGCTGGACACAAACAAAAGAATTTTACCCTCAGTTATCTATACTGACTTACCTAATAAAACAAAAGAAGTTTACCGTGAGTAGAAGAGGTTCTTCCCAAAGAAGATGATCCAAGTATGTACCAGCAACAAGTAAATGTAATCTATAACCCTGCTCCTTTTCACCTTGATGTAAAGATATCCCGTCATGATTACATGTATCTTCTCGTTGGTAAATTAAGTTTTCTGAAAATTGGTATGACTTTTTTATGTAAACAAGAATTTGTAACAGAGTTACCAACGTCCCCCGCCCCGGGAGTTTTATATGAAGCATAAAATTGTGCTATTTCAAAAGATTGAGGTATGGATCTCAGGACATTCAGTCCAAAATTATGATCAATGCTAGATCTGCAAATGTAACAATAAATTTGTTAAAAAAATAAAATGAAACACGGAATTTAAAAATCTATCATGTTAAGCTTTGACCTCTAAGTGTGAACTTGACCTTGGAGGTAGGGGAGCAGGTGTTGTGCATGACATAACGTCTTATTATTGTGACTATTTGTGCCAAGTTACCGTATTTCAAAATCCCTTGAACTATGAAGAAGTTCTAGATTCAACACAAAATAAACCCTATAACAGACTATGTTAATTTTTGACCTCTAAGTGTGACCTTGACCTTGGAGGTAGGGATGCAGGTGTTGCGCATGACACATCCTCTTATTATAGTGACTATTTGTGCAAAGTATTTTCACAATCCTTTGATCTATGAAAAAATTATAGACCTGACACAAAATATACCCTGTAACAGACTATGTAAGTATTTGACCTCCAAGTGTGACCTTGACCTTGGAGGTAGGTGACCGGTTTTTGCGCATGACACATCATCTGATTATTGTTAACAATTATGGCAAGTATTTACAAAAGTCCTTCATAGATAAGAAAGTTATGGACTGGACACGACATATACCCTCAAATAGACAATGTTGACCTTGAATGAACAAGTACGACCTTGACCCTGAAGGTACGGGTCTGGTTGTTGCGCATGACACATCGTCTTATTATAACAAACATTTGTGCCAAGTTATCTCAAATTCCTTTGATAAATGACAAAGTTATGGACCGGACACGAAACTATACCCTGTAACAGACTATGTTAATATTTGACCTCCAAGTGTGACCTTGACGTTGAAGGTAGGCAACTGGTTTTTTGCGCATGACACATCATCTGATTATTATGAACAATTATGGCAAGTATTTACAAAAACCCTTCATAGATAAGAAAGTTATGGACCGGACACGAAATATACCCTGTAACAGACTATGTTAATATTTGACCTCCAAGTGTGACCTTGACCTTGAAGGTAGGTGACTGCTTTTTCCGCATGACACATCGTCTGATAATTGTGAACAATTATGGCAAGTATTTACAAAATCCCTTCATAGATAAGAAAGTTATGGACCGGACACGAAATATACCCTGTAACAGACTATGTTAATATTTGACCTCCAAGTGTGACCTTGACCTTGAAGGTAGGTGACTGGTTTTTGCGCATGACACATCGTCTGATTATTGTGAACAATTATGGCAAGTATTTACAAAATCCCTTCATAGATAAGAAAGTTATGGACCGGACACGACATATACCCTCAAATAGGCAATTTTGACCTTGAATGAGCAAGTGTGACCTTGACCCTGGAGGTAGGGGTCTGGTTGTTGCGCATGACACATCGTCTTATTATAATAAACATTTGTGCCAAGTTATTTCAAATTCCTTTCATAAATGACAAAGTTATGGACCGGACACGAAAGTGTGACGGACGGACAGACGGACGGACGGACAGACGGACAGAGCCTATTTCTATATCCCCCTTTTTTCTTCGAAAAGGCGGGGGACAAAAAGAGTAATACAGTCCAACTCTGCTTATTCGAAGTGCCAGGGACTAAAAATTACTTTGAATAATCAATGGGTTCGAATAATCTAAATCAGAATATTAATATGATAGACAGTGTTCAATCGAGAGAGCGCCATTGACCCCCTGAAAAGACCGCCGACGCAAAACAAATTCAACTGTGGGCCCGACGGGCGCACTCATAGAAAATGCCATTAATGATCTAAAACCTGATTAAGTACCTAAAAGTTTCTTGTGAATAATATTAATAAATACTGAATTCAAAACTGAAGTTTGTATAGAAAAACAAGAGCATGTTGGTAAGATAGTTACCGCACTCGGTAACCCTTTTAAAACCTTGATCGGTCAGGGTCTGTTAATACTATGCAAACCTGTTCTTCGTACCGTTACTATTACTTACTTTTGAGTCACAGTTTTTATAAACAAAACAAATCGTCACAGATAATCCAATACGTGTGTGTAGTTACAGTTTTTTAACGGTCAAAACAAATTAATATGCCACAACTTTCCAGAGGAAAAAAAAACTATATATTTGTGAAAAAGTGCGAGTTAATTATACAGGTGTGCATAAATTATTAAGAACACGCCTTCCACCAATTAAAAAAGTCTTAAAGATGGAGCTAATCAAACACGATTGGCTAGGGAGTGTCTGACAATTGAGTAAATAAACTTTGATTGGTCTTTGGTGCAGATCATTAATCAATACAGACATCTTAAGCGTGACGTAAGAACTGCTGCCCTGACAAAAGATCAAAGGTACCGGTATGTCAATATACATTGTCTTAGCACCTGTCGACACTTTGTTTTTAGATTGGATATATTGAGAAGGGTAAATGTTTTTAGCAACTATTGTAAGTTTATAAGCTAATTGCAAAATATGATTTTCCTTTATATATATCGGGCGCTGATTAAAAAACTGAACATTGTTATCAAATATCCCAGGTTCCATTTAAATAAGATTCATATGTTTCTTTGAACATTATGTCATTGTTTCTTTACCAATCAGTTCTTAAAATTGAGTCTGCATCAACTTTAACAGCTAGAAGTCTCGAAAAAGGTCCAAATAATGTCATTTTTTTAGTTGAGTTGATTGTTATGGAATTTTGCAACCGTTTTTGGTCTATATATGGTGCGTGAACAAGTAACTTAAAAAGATACAATACCTTATTTGAATTTGATGTTCATTTTAAGTGTTGGCCCCCTTTTTTCTCAAATGACCCCCTTTTGAAAAGTTTATGGGCCCGAAGGGCCCCCTGGAAATTTTTACTAGATTGAACACTGGATAGAGGATAACTACTCCACTTTGGCCAATCATAGCGAATCTACCATTTACAACACACTTGTTTCCTGCCATCAGTTGTAAAAAAAAAAATGTGTAAAAATAATTTTTTAGTGGTATTGAAGACATAAATACTTTCATTTTTTCTACGTTATGTATCGTTTCATATCATTTTGTGCAAAGCCTTGATTATGGCCGTGTTGTCACTACGGTATTTACAGCTAAACGCCGGTATTTTCGATTTAATTAGAGTAAAGACTCTGATGAAGCATTACAATTAATGAAGACAAAATTTTTTTGGCTGTTTTGAGAAATTCATATATGGAGAATTTATGAAAAATATCGCTGTCAATTCTTTAACCAATAACAGTAACAACATCAGACACGGTGCATATTTTTTCATTTTCGGTAACTGAAGTTAATGAAAGAACACACAAAGGGTAATTATCACGATTGTTTAAATACACACGGGACCAAAATTTACTTTGGAAAATGGCAGGGATTCGGATAATGCATTTCGAATAATATTTTTGTATTCATATAGACTTAAATAGAAATAAAAATGGGACTGCCGATCTACTTCAGATAATGACAGGTATTTAAATAAAGGGTTGTCAAATAACCAGGGTCGGACTGTATATACCTTTTCCATTTAAATTTCAATTTGACAGATATAATTTACGTATCCAGTGAACAAAGATAGCTTTCCTTTCATCAATTTATTTCATTGAACCTATTCAAAGAAATCACTGCTGGGATGCGATAAAATTGGAAATTGGGGCAAAGTTATAAGGTTTTGGTTTTCTTAGGTCAAGATTCAATGCTACATGCAAAAATGTACTGAAAGACGCAAATACTAGTCGGACGTTTGGGCAAAGTTATAAGGTTTGTTTTTTAGGTCAAATTCAATGCTACATGTAAAAATGTATTGAATGACCAAATACTAGTTGGACGTTGGTGCAAAGTTACAAGGTTTGGTTTTTTAGGTCAAATTCAATGCTACATGTTAAAATGTACTGAAAGACCAAATATGGGTGCAACAGATTAAATTCAAGTAGTTTAAAACAGGTGAAGGTCAGCAATTATAAAAGGAACTGTGATCAAATTTAAGTCTCATTAAAATTAAAAGTGAAGCTGATTTGGCATTGCAAAATAAATTGGGGACATTATATAATAGGTAAGTGACAAGTGTAGGACAAAAGCCCTCCTAGATTAAAAGCCCTCCCTTCGATTGAAAAGAAAAAAACAAGGTATTCAAATTACATATACAGTAAAGACTGTCTTAGTGACCCCCTGTATATAGCGACCTTCTGTCTTTAGTGACCATAGTAAATAGGTGCGCCGAACAGTATTTACTATATAAAGGGTCTGTATGTAGCGACCACCTGTCTAGTCCGTATAACGACCATGATTTAGTCACCCGTTACGGTATATGAGCCGTACAAAGCGACTTTTGCAAGGCTTGAGCTAGGGGGCGACTTTGGCGTAGAAGTCGCCTTCGGATCAGCGACTTTGCCTAAAACCAATTTCAAAGCAATTTTGAAGTCGCCCGATTTTTTAATGATCTGTCATACTTACTAAAGCCGAAAGGTATGTTAACAATTTGTTTACCTCTCAATTACAACCAATTACCGTTAATCCACTAGTTAAGAACGTGTGTCAACATCAACAAAGTTTAATACACGCCGCAAGGCAAGAGTTCACTATGTATATTATGTATTCATGCGATTGACGAATCAGAACGCACGTTGTATCTACAGCAGTTTGCATTGACCAATCGGCGACACACTAATACACTAAGGCTGTTTGTTGACAATTACACATAATGGCAACAGATTCAATCAATTTTTGTAAAGACACCTGCATATACATAATTGCTGCGGTGCTTTGGCGAGTAAAGATAATCAGTGCCTAACGTCTTAAAGGTGTGGTTATGTTCGAAAACTCGATTTTTTTCAGAGCACTTATCTGTAGAAATTATGTGAAGATTTGTATCTCAAACATTCTGGCTTGTGGTCAAATATAGACGATGACCAGCCTGACTCATTGCCAATATGGCAAGTGGAATTGCTCTATCTGCCCTGAATATTGTTACCAACTAAATATACTCACTACATGTATACAGTATATGTAAATATTGTGTTTGCTATTGGTATACATTTATGAAAAGTAGATTTATAGTAGAATTCTTTTATTTGAGGTGTTTTTTTATTTCTTTTCTGGTTTATTCCTAGCTTATAATTCTCCAGATGACGCCTAATATATCTCCCAACTTATCCCTAAAGTCTTGAACATATCTGAACCAAATAGAGACTGTCCACAGTGACTCCCTGTCTATAATGACCATTTTTCTTTTCTCCCATCGAAGGTCACTGTAAACAGTTTTTACTGTATATTATTAGTTATAAATGTTTTTTGACAGGTTAGTAACCGTTACATAGCCCTATATAAATGGTTGTTTGCAAACAACCCAGGGCTCGACATTAACGGTTGTCCGACTGCCCGGGACAACTAAAAGTTTGGTCCGGGCAAGTTATTTTGAAAAGCACTTGTCCGACAGGGCAAGTGAAAATAAAAAGCATCATTGACAAAATGCATGTACAAAATGAATAGAAATATCTTTTCATTTATAAACATCTATAAAACAAAAATACACCATGAATTATTATCAATAATGTGAATATACTACGGTCATGTACATTTGTTGATATAGGAAACGGAAGCAAAAATATGAGCATGCGCCGCGGTAAGGTAATTCTCTGTTCTAATAATAGACTATATCTAATTTTGTACAAGGTAATTCCCGGTTATGCTGTTGTTTAAATTTTGATGTTTGCATGTAAAGATATCATTGAAAATATGTAGATACTCATATTGATCTTTAAATATAATTGTTAAATAAAGTTTTTGCATTAAAAATGATTTATTGTTTAATCTAATATAACAACATTATGAACTTAGTAAACGAAGACTCGTTTACGGGCTGTTGACTTGATGAATGAACAGGGATTTCCTTACCGCGGCGCATGCTCATATTTTTCCTTCCGTTCCCCTATATCAACAAATGTACATGACCGTAGTATATTCACATGAATAAACAGATGAACCGATGTTTTAGAAAAACTACTAAATACAAAAAATATGTATGAGCTTGTTTGTTTTTCTGATTTATACATTTTTACCATTTTTAGGTCAGGACAAGTAAGTCTTAGGTCACGGGCAAGTAGTTTTAAAAACTACTTGCCCGACAGGACAACCTGATTCAAAAGTTAATGTCTAGGCCTGCAACCGTTTGTATTCGACAAAATAACCTGTCAGAAATATTTATCACTAATTTATAATACATCAAGCATCATTTTTAGAGGAATAAAGCGAGATTTCTATATAAATTGACAGCAGTCGTGTATATAAAATTATATAAACGTCACGATTATCCAGTAAAAAGCGAAATAACAAACATGAAGTATTATAAATATATATTTGCTGCAGGAGGGCTTATGTCCGCCTTGTCTTATACACCCGAGGTCTTTTGTCTGCCATGTTATTTTTACGGGAGGTCTTTTGTCCGCCATGTCATTTTCATGGGAAGTCTTTTGTCCGCCATGTCATTTTCACAGGAGGTCTTCTGTCTGCCTTGTCATTTTTGGACAGGAGGGCTTTTGTAAGTGACAGGCTGTTATAAAAGTGACGCCGTTTTCACATCCTGGGCATGTTTTTTAATCAATGTGGCTGCTTTTATATAAGGTTTTCATTTTCATCTGTGACAACAGATGTGCTAACTTAAATAATTTGGCCAGGGGACAAGAGAAATATGTTGATCCATAGGCAACAGAAAAAAACCAAGAGATTCTAACAGCATTTTAACCAATGACATGGACTGCCATTTTGTTAATTATGAAAACAAAGTATATTACAAAATGGAGCTATCATTTTTAAAGAGTATGAATGTAGACAGCTTATAGTAAGTTCAAACAGAATCCCTAAAGAAAAAGAGCAAAAAGAAGGAACTATACCTCCATGTTCTTCTAATGCATAGGACACCTTACAGGTATAGGGCAAAACTTCTGGCAAGGTTGGCTCATTACATGTGATAGTAAATGGAGTTGTTATTGCCTGTCCAGTAATGGGTGATACCTGGCATACAACCTTTGTGTCATCGTAATACTGATAAATAAATGATGTCATTCCTTCATCTTTACTGGGATTTTGCAGAGTAACTGAAATGAAAAACAAGAGGGCCATGATGGCCCTGAGGTCGTTCACCTGTATATAGCCCCCCCCCCCCACACACACCCGTAAGAAGATGTTTCATGCTAAACATCTAAGCTCTAGCTCATTGGGCTTTTTAAAAGAAGTTTTTTTAAAGTTTTTACTTTACACATATAGTTAAAAACAATGACACCCCTGGGGCGGGGCTAGTTTGACCCCAGGGCTTTTATTTGAACAAACTTTGTAGACACTTACTAGAAGATGTTTCATGCTTAATATCTAAACTCTAGCTATTTGGGTTTTTTCAAAGAAGATTTTAAGTTTTTGCTATACACATATAAGGAAAATCAATGACCCCCGGGGCGGGGCCAATTTTGACCCCAGGGCTTTTATTTGAACAAACTTTGTAGACACTCACTAGAAGATGTTTCATGCTTAATATCTAAACTCTAACTATTTGGGTTTTTTTCAAAGAAGATTTTTTTAAAGTTTTTGCTATACACATATAAGGAAAATCAATGACCCCGGGGCGGGGCCAATTTTGACCCCAGGGCTTTCATTTGAACAAACTTGGTAGACACCTATTAGAACATGTTTGATGCTAAATATCTTAGCTCTAGCTCTTTGAGTTCTTTAAAAGAAGATTTTTAAGTTTTTACTATATGCATATAGGGAAAATCAATGACCCCCTGGGGCGGGGCCAATTTTGACCCCAGGGCTTTTATTTGAACAAACTTGGTAGACACCCATAAGAAGATGTTTCATGCTTAACATCTAAGCTCTAGCTCATTGGGCTTTTTAAAAGAAGATTTTTTTAAGTTTTTACTATACACATATAGTTAAAAACAATGACACCCCTGGGGAGGGGCCAGTTTTGACCCCAGGGCTTTTATTTGAACAAACTTTGTAGACACTTACTAAAAGATTCTTCATGCTTAATATCTAAACTCTAGCTATTTGGGCTTTTTCAAAGAAGATTTTAAGTTTTTGCTATACACATATAAGGAAAATCAATGACCCCCGGGGTGGGGCCAATTTTGACCCCAGGGCTTTTATTTGAACAAACTTGGTAGACACCTATTAGAACATGTTTGATGCTAAATATCTTAGCTCTAGCTCTTTAAGTTCTTTAAAAGAAGATTTTATAAGTTTTTACTATATGCATATAGGGAAAATCAATGGCCCCCTGGGGCGGGGCCAATTTTGACCCCAGGGCTTTTATTTGAACAAACATGGTAGACACTCACTAGAACATGTTTCATGCTAAATATCTTAGCTCTAGCTCTTTGGGTTCTTTAAAAGAAGATTTTTTAAGTTTTTACTATATGCATATAGGGAAAATCAATGACCCCCTGGGGCGGGGCCAATTTTGACCCTAGGGCTTTTATTTGAACAAACTTGGTAGACACTCACTAGAGGATGTTTCATATGGAGGGCGATCGTTGCCAAAATTCCAGACATGTAATGTGTTCCTTTTGAAAACTACTTTTGAAAATGCGAACATGTATGTCTAGCATTTTTTATTGCATTCGTGCACAGCAAATGATATGCCTCTTAATACAATCTTTTAATTGAAGGCACCCGCTTTTAAATAACACGTTTACATGTAAATCTTAACAACTGACCTAACATGGGAGAACAACAACACATTTACAAGTTCGTATCTACCATTGCATATAATACATAAGCATGTTTACACACTCGTAGATATATATCTGTACCTGATAAACACAAATGAAATGTAAAACTCGAATGCAGAAAATATAATTTAATAAAACGTGTTCCAGTCGTAGAACTACAACAGTACGTTTACACAGTTACATGTTTAAAATGACAAAAGTAGATTCACAAAGTTAGACGATTCTAAGTCATGCATGACGCCCCGCCTCTCTCTGAGTATTTGCGATCTTCTATCACGGAAATGTACGGACAGGTATAATACCCGTCGCCTCACCTCCTTTCTCAATAAAGTGAAGGAAAACACGGCGTCCATTCTAACTTTTTTATTTCTATAAAAAGTCCAATAATATTGGTATCAAATGAAAGATTACTCCATAAGCTTTCTATGAGTGCCTCGGAAATAAAAATGAATTAAATAGATGTAATTGGAATTTTTAGGTTTTTTTACTCTGAAAATAACACTCTCGAATTGGTAAGAAAAACACGGCGTTCCCTCCAAACTTTTTTTAAGTTCGTAATATATTTTGATAATTTTGGATTGAAATAAAAGTGTGCTTCATACGATTTATGATATATAATTATATAATGCCTAAAAATAAAAATGAATTAAATCAAACTGAATTAACTTTCGTTAAAAAGTTTATCATGTTACTTTTGTAAAATAGAGAAAATAAGAATCCCTAAAGAACGCTCAAAACGACAAAATTGAGAATGTTGCAGGCCGGTTTGATTGAGCCTGCTCATGGACGGTAATGGAAAGAGCAAGTTATCGTCCACGGCCCCCTAGCACCGGCTTAAGCAAAATTCAACATGAACTGGTACAATTTTGAAACATGCGCAGATGTGTTAATATGGCGATTATCATGGAACCTTCAATGTGACACGTAAGTGCCATACCATGAAAAACGGCATATGATCCCCAAGTAAAAAAAAAAAAAACACACTCTGAAATTCAGTAAGAAAAAAACATGGCGCCCCCTACTTACTTTTTTTATTTCTTGGTCAATTTTTGATAATAAACAAGATCATCAAGGAAAGGCGGCGGAAAATTACATAAGAATTGCAGATTCGGTTTGATTGAGTCTGCACATGAGGGATAATGAACAAGTGACGATTATCATGCAACCTTCAATGTGACACGTAAGTGACACCGGCTTGAACGGTACTCAATTCTAAACACTTTATAGCGCTGGCATCAATGATCCCGAATGACCAGAAAAACACTGAAGTGAAGTACGGGGCAACTTTTTACAACTGCCACACGGCACTTGGCACCTGCTGTTGTGAAGTATTAAAATCTGGAAACAAAATGATCCCTCGGAAGCATTAATCACTACACAATTACATAAGAATTGCAGACTCGGTTTGATTGAGTCTGTACATGAGGGATAATGAACAAGTGCAAAAAGTTTTTATTCATACTGAAAATACCGTATTAAAGATTGTACATATGTGCTACGGATAAGTATTTTCTTGATTTCGGAAAGGAAATCTCGGTGGCCGCTTTAAAAATCCTATTTTTGCAAATACTTGCATAGTTTTTGTTGAAAGTGAAATTTGTGCCAATACATTTTTCAATGATACCAATAAGAGTATTGGATGTTTTTACATTATCAATTAAATTACTCCCTTGAAGTTGGTCATTGTTTCCCCTAAAAATTTCCAAATCGCCGATGTTTCTCAGGAATATATGATAAACAAGATCAACAAGGAAAGGCGGCGCTCAATGAAGGCAACCCTACATGACCAGCCAACAAGAACAAGTGGCAAGAAGCCCAGGCGGTCCCAAACAAAACACATGGCCAGGGCACTAGGCATAGCACGGACAGGCTAATCACTAAAATGATAAATAATTTGTAACTGATAAGAACACGATGTTAAATAATAAGGTAATGCACAACTTATCTTTATCAAAAATGGTAAAATCAGCAATTTTCAAGTGATGTTGCTAGTGACAAAACTTTTTAACAAATGCAACATATATATGTTATGAAAAATGCCGTATGTTGTCCTTCAGTTTTATTTAAAAATATGGGAGAGGCGCCGTTTTATACCTGTCCGCAATAGAAGGTCGTAAATACTCCGAGAGGGGCGGGGCGTTATGCTTGACTTCAAATCGTTTAACTTTGTGAATCTACTTTTGTCATTTTAAACATGTTACTGTGTTAACGTACTCTTGTAGTTCTACAACTGGTAACACGTTTTCTTAAACTCTATTTTCCGTATTCGAGTTTTACATTTCATTTGTATATTACAGATCTATAAGTGTGCAAACATGCGTATGTATTGCATGCAATGGAAGATACGAACTTGTAAATTTGTTGTCGTTTTAGATGTTATAGGTCAGTTGTTACGATATATATGTAAACTTGTTATATAAAGGCGGTAACCTTCAATTAAAAGATTGAATTAAGAGGCATACAATAAAAATGGTAGGCATACAAGTTCGCATTTTCAAAAGTCATTTTAAAAAGGTACACTTTACATGTCTGGAATTTTGGCAACGATCGCCCTCCATAGTTTCATGCCAAATATCTAAGCTCTAGCTCTTAGGGTTTTTTAAAAGAAGATATTTAAAGTTTTTTCTTTTGGTTGCCATTGCAACCAGAGTTCTGCATGGAATTAAATTCTTTGAACAATTTTTAAAGGTGACCACCAAAGGAACATTCCTGTGAAGTTTGGATGAAATCGGCCTAGTGGTTTATGAGGAGATGTCATTTAAAGTAAAAGTTTAGGGACGCCGGACGCCGGACGAAAAGCGATCACAAAAGCTCACCCTGTCACTTTGTGACAGGTGAGCTAAAAAACAATACACTTGGACAGTTTTAGAAATTCATAGTTACACATATGTCTTGATTTTAACTTATATCATCATCCCCTAAATATTTTTCTCTTTACACAATTTGCAATTTTAAAGAAAAAAAACCTTATAATTTTGGTTGAGATTCTTTGGTAATGTTTGAATACTAAAAAAAATGAATAAAAAAGTATTTGACATTTTCTAAAATGCAATGATAAGATGTGAAACTTGGCATGCTGACCAGTGGGTAGTGACTCTCCATATATTAAAATTTTAGGTCACTACCCAAACTCTGTGAGGCTTCACAGAAATTCTTGTAAATTTATATATCTGACATTTCTAAGTTAAACAACAGTTGTCCAAGGAGGAGGGTACTCCAATTTTCTCCTTGCTGGACAGTATACTGCAAACTTTCTAAAGATATGTCATCAGGTATATTTCAATTAACCTCCCCCCACACACCACTTTTTGTTTAGTTTAATAATATTTTATTGCATATTTTGTACATGATTAATTTACACCATCTAACATCAATATCTTAAGCATGAATATAATGTACATACAAAAGGGTTGGACCAAAAGTTATACCAACATTATCTAGGGTCCTCCCCTGAAGGTCTATCTTGTTGGCTTAATGGTAACATAGTAAGTAAATGTGGTTTTTAGAAATTCTGAGATATTTATTTATATGATAAGCGATATTAATTTCATGTATTTTAACTGGTAGAAAAGAATCGCTTAACCTAAAAAACAAAGAAAATTACAAAATGACTTAATGAGGTAAAATGGAAAAAAAATATATGCCATTAACAATTTGCCACTATAATAAACGCACCAAACCTTGTTTTGCAGCAGTATTTTAATAAACTTAATATGAAAATAAATATAGTATATGTGTAAACAAAATTAGGTAAATCTTCTACTACTTATGATGAAATTATGCACTTCTTGAAATAGTCTTATGTTTTCGGCTTCTGCAAGTCCATCAATACCGTGTAATAATTTCTGACTACTGAGAGGATGAAATGACCTCAGGTATTCAAAAAAAGTATACGTCTTTGCATAGTATATAATTTACATCGGGAAAAAATAGTGCTCCGCATTTTCGATGTCTGCGCCGCATTGGCATAATGGACTTGAAACTAAATGGTTAATAAAAAGATCATTATTTAAGTTGCTACAATTGTTTCTAATTCGGGTTTGGTGGACATTTAAGGAACGATCTCCGTATAAGAAAAAAGATGGAACTACTGGAGGTTTATATAACTGTTTAATCTTATTTTTAAATATAGCTAGCGATTGTGATTCGCGAATGTTTGTCGGAAGATTATTCCATAATTGAATAGCTGATGGAATGACTGATTTTGAGTAAATTTCGGTACGTCTGGCTAAAGTAATATAGTCACTATTATTTCTTTTTGTAGGAAAAAACCTTAAAGATATTGTTATTTAAAAATAACATCCAGATATTGTTATTTAAAAAAAAACATGAAAAATAAAATTCTGCATTTTATATTATGAAATCATAAAAATGAATAATGATTTTTATAATTGCATCATAAACATATCATATTTTAAAGCACATTTTTATAGTTCTAATAAGTGCATCCCCAATCCCAGGGATGCCAATAGACAATTTTGAAAAAAGGAAAATTAAACGCAAGTGGTCATGGGGGCCGCGTAGGCCCCCATGCAGGTTCAGGGCAGAGCCCTGGTGGGGGACAGGGGGCGAAGCCCCCGTAAGCTCCTGGGTTTTCATCCTTTTCAGATGGTCTAAAATGCATTTCCTTTTAGTGCTTTATCAATTATTTTCATTAAATGATATTGTATTACTTTGACTGGCAGTAACAAAGTTAAGGCAGACTTTAATTTCAATGAAATTAATCAGTATAATCTATAACTGTAATAATATTACGATTTGACGTGATCCTCGATTGCAACTAACCCTCGACTACCATAATTAATTTGTTTTGAACATAGTTGACACGAAGCTTGTCCAGGAATATTCGTCACCAATGCGGACAGTTGTCTCGGTTGATCCAATATCCATATTTACTATGTGCTCTAACCATTTCAAATTAAACTTATTTTTAACATTTTTTACACAGTCTTTGATTTTCGAAGCGTTGTTGGAGTTAATTGCTGCCATTATTCATGTAAAAAATATCTTTCTTGCTAATCGGCCGACAATTTGTTTTGCTTTCTTCAACTACAGAAAGACGCTACGATTGGTTGATATATTTAACGCTATCCTTCATTGGCTTACAATAATAGCGACAATAACTGAGCATACCCGAAAAGTGGTATGGTCTAAATATTTACGGTACGGTCTAAACATTTACAATCGGCGGACAATAGACGGGAAAGAGACCCCCATCCAGCAAATTTAATTTTCACCTCGGATTTACATTGTTCTCAAAAGTGGTTCGAGGACCTCGAAATCTGCGGATTTCCACGGATCCGAGAAAATTGGCATCTCTGCACCCCTTGAAAAATGCAAAATTGTTAGAGACAATACATTAGGTGAAAAAATACATAAATAACTCACCCTTAACTACAACGGCATAATATGCCCAACCTGCTGTGTTGCTATGGTCAATTTTTATAAAGTTTCCTGTTGATGGAAGAAACATTTCGTCATAACTGCTACCGCAATGCACGCATTCCTAGAAATATATGAATTACAAGAGTTACAAACATCCCCGCCTAAAGTCAGTTTTACATGAAGAACAAAATTGTGCTATTTCAAAAGATTAAGTTACAGATCTGGACTTTCAGTTGCACTAACATGTTGTCTTATATTTGTGAACATTCATGCCAAGTAATTTCAAAACCCTTGATCGATGAAAAAGTTATGGACTCAACACAAAATATACTTTATAACATGTATAACAGACCATGTTAAGCTTTGACCCTGAAGTGTGACCTTTACCTTGAACGTACGGTTCCGGTTGCTCATGACATATTGACCAATTATTGTGAACATTTTTGTCAAGTAATTTCAAAATCCTACCAAGAGTGACCTTGACCTTAAAGGTGAACATTTGAAGTATTTTCAAAGTCCCTTGAACCATGAAAGAATTATGGACTGGACACAAAATATACTCTGTAACAGACCATCTTAATCATTGACATCCAAATATGACCTTGGAGGTAGGGGTCCAGGTGTTGGACATGACACAAAATATAGCCTATTACAGACCCCAAGTTTGACATTGATCTTAGAGGTAGGGGCCTGAGTGTTGCACAACACATGGTCTCATTGTGGTGATCATTTGTACCAAGAATTTTTAAAATCAATTGATGGATGAGAAAGTTATGGTCCTGACACAGCATATACAGCCCAACAGACATTGAAGGGATATGGATGGTGCATAAGATACATCGTCTTATAATAATTAACATTAAATTTTGTGTCTAGCCATTTCAAATTCCATTGATGAATGGCTTTGTTCTGGACCCAAGACAATTGTGATGGACGGATAACTGGAGGACAGAGCCTATTTTTATATCCAGGACAGTAAATTGACGAAAGTGTTATAAAATTCAATATCCTAAGGAAATAGTTTCTTAAATATAATTTCTAATCCCAGATTTATTTATCTTAAACAAGCATTCTTAAATTGCATTCAGTGGTGGCATGGCTGAGAGAGGCTAATGCCTCAGACTAAGAATCTAACAATTGCTGGCTGTATAGGTTCAACCCCGTAAGGGGCAACTTGTTGTTTCCTTGAGCAAGAAACTTTACACACATTGCTTTGTTCTGCTTGGTTCCAGGAACGAATTAGAGTCTTTCAAAAAGCTTATAGCCTTTAACACAATTAAACTAAAAATAAATTCGTACAAACCTAATTGCGTTCCATGATACATATCAAATCCATCTATATCATAGCATATAGCATATGACTTGCCCAACACAGAAAATTCTTAGCTTTAAGCTAGCTAGTTATCTATTTTTAGATTTATTTGACATTGATGACTAAGCAATAAATAGAAAACATACATAGCATCATACCATAATATTTTCATTAAAACACTCTCTGAGTGACCATTGGTATGTTTGAACCCAATCCTGGCAATTAGCACATGTAACAAGGAACTTCAGTTCAGACACAAACGTCATCCTCTTCATACAACTAGGTGTACAACTGAAGTTATCATAGATCAATTAAAATAGGTGGTCTTGTTACAATTAGGTTTACAATTTTAGTTTTCATAGATCAATAAAGATAAGTGTTCTTGTTACAACTAGGTTTACAACTGATATTTTAATAGATCAATTAAATTAGGTTGTCTTTTGTTACAATTAGGTTAACAATTGAAGTTTTCATAGTTCAATTAAAATAAGTGTTCTTGTTACAACTATGTTTACAACTGAAGTTTTCACAGATGGTTTTGGTGACCTTAATGCAACATTGAAATAAAGGTATCTTGCTGAATGAAAATGTTTATCACTGGTGACCTTTATGCACATTCAAATAAAGGCATCTTGCTAAGCCATAGCTTAGTATGTTACAGCAATTTTCGATCTGTTTATCAAGACTATACTATGTTTTTTTTCCAGTTATCTCTGAGTGGTGAGCAATGACTTCCAGAGAATAAGCACTTTAGAATTAAGTTTGGCAACAGAAAAAAAAACATATTTAGACGGAGGGAAAGCCTAAAAATTCTAAACAACAACGGGGTCCTTGTACATGGTTCTAAATTTTGGACATGGCACAATGTGAAAACTGTTTTTCTCCAACCTCTTGATGTGACCTTGACTTTAGACCTTAAAAGAACTGACATTTCATGGTGTTCAATATTTCTATCAAGTAATACAATGCTTGTTGAGATATTCTCCGGACTTCCCATTATTCAACCATTTTTTACAAACGCGTATATATATAAAACAAGAGCACCGCTAGGCGGAGCATTATATGCCCGAAAGTGTTTTTTTTCGTAAGGATGAAGCATTTATTAGACATGGGAATTAGCAGTTCATCCTATAAAATTTTACAGATGTATGTTGATTAATACTTAAGTTATTAATAATGACCTTAACCTTTGACCTTGTGACCCTAAAATCAATAGGGGTCTTCTACCTTATATGGACAATCATCCTGAGGAGTTTGAATATTGTGGGCCAAAAGGACCGGAAGCTGTTTTGAATTTTAAGTGAATAGTGAACTTGACTTTTGACCTTTTGACCCCTAAATCACTTAAGTTATGCTCCTGAAACTGTTTTCAGTATCAAGGTAATAATGGCCTTGACCTTTGACCTTGCAACCCTAAAATCAATACAGGTCTTCTACCCATTATGGACAATCATCCTATGAAGTTTGGACATTGTGGGCCAAATGAAACTTAAGTTATACTCCGGAAACCAAATTGCTTACGGACGGAAACTGTTTTCAGTATCAAGGTAATAGTGACCTTGACCTTTGACCTTTTGACCCCAAAATCAAAAGGGGTCTTCTACCCAATATGGACAATCATCCTATGAAGTTTGAACGTTGTGGGTCAAATGGAACTCAAGTTATGCTCTGGAAACTGTTTTAAACTTAGTGACCTTGACCTTTGACCTTTTGTACCCAAAATCAATAGGGGTCTTTTACCCAATATGGACAATCATCCTATGAAGTTTGAACATAGTGGGCCAAATGGAACTTAAGTTATGCTCCAGAAACCAAATTGCTAATGGACGGAAACTGTTTTCAGTATCAAGGTAATAGTGACATTGACCATTGACCCAAAAATCAATAGGGGTCTTCTACCAAATATGGACAATCATCCTATGAAGTTTGAAAATTGTGGGCCAAATTGAACTTAAGTTATGCTCCTGAAACCAAATTGCGAAGGGACAGAAACTGTTTTCAGTATCAAGGTAATAGTGGCCTTGACCTTTGACCTTTTGACCCAAAAATCAATACGGGTCTTCTACCCAATATGGACAATCATCCTATGAAATTTGAACATTGTGGGTCAAATGGAACTTAAGTTATGCTCCAGAAACTGTTTTCAGTTTTAAGGTAATAGTGACCTTGACCTTTGACCCCAAAATCAATAGTGGTCTTCTACCCAATATGGACAATCATCCTATGAAGTTTGAATATTGGGGGCCAAATGGAAGTTAAGTTATCCTCCGGAAACCAAATTGGTAACGGACAAATTGCTAACAGACGGAAACTGTTTTCAGTATCAAGGAAAAAAGTGACCTTGACCTTTGACCTTTTGACCCCAAAATCAATAGGGGTTTTCTTCCCAATATGTACAATCATCCTATGAAGATTGATCATTGTGGGTCAAATGGAACTTTAGTTATGCTCCGGAAACTGTTTTTAGTTTTAAGGTAATAGTGTCCTTGACCTTTGACCCGAAAATCAATAGGGTTCTTCTACCCAATATGGACAATCATCCTATGAAGTTTGAACATTGTGGGCAAAATGAATCTTAAGTTATGCTCCGGAAACCAAATTGCTTATGGACAAATTGCTAACGGATGTAAACTGTTCTAAGTATTAAAGAATTAGTGACCTTGACCTTTGACCTTTTGACCCCAAAATCAATAGGGGTCTTCTATCCAATATGGACAATCATCCTATGAAGTTTAATCATTGTGGGTCAAATGAAACTTAAGTTATGCTCCGGAAAATGTTTTTAGTTTTAAGGTAATAGTGAACTTGACCTTTGACTTTTTGACCCTAAAATCAATAGGGTTTTCTACTAAATATGGACAATCATCCTATGAAGTTTGAACATTGTGGGCCAAAAGGAACTTAAGTTATGCTCCAGAAACCAAATTGCTAACAGACAAATTGCTACCAGACGGAAACTGTTTTCAGTATCAAGGTTATAACGACCTTGACCTTTGACCTTTTGACCCCAAAATCAATAGGGGTCTTTGTACTTAATATGGACAATCATCCTATGAAGTTGGAACATTGTGGGTCAAATGGAATTTAAGTTATGCTCTGGAAACTGTTTTAAGTTTTAAGTTACTAGTGACCTTGACCTTTGACCTTTTGACTCCAAAATCAATAGGGATCTTTTACTTAATATGGACAATCATCCTATGAAGTTTCAACATTGTGGGCCAAATGGAACTTAAGTTATCCTCCGAAAACCAAATTGCTAACAGACGGAAACTGTTTTCAGTATAAAGGTAATAAGTGATCTTGACCTTTGACCTTTTGACCCCAAAATCAATAGGGGTCTTTATACTTAATATGGACAATCATCCTATGAAGTTGGAACATTGTGGGTCAAATGGAATTTAAGTTATGCTCTGGAAACTGTTTTAAGTTTTAAGTTACTAGTGACCTTGACCTTTGACCTTTTGACTCCAAAATCAATAGGGGTCTTTTACTTAATATGGACAATCATCCTATGAAGTTTCAACATTGTGGGCCAAATGGAACTTAAGTTATCCTCCGAAAACCAAATTGCTAACAGACGGAAACTGTTTTCAGTATAAAGGTAATAAGTGATCTTGACCTTTGACCTTTTGACCCCAAAATCAATAGGGGTCTTCTATCCAATATGGACAATCATCCTATGAAGTTTGAACATTGTGGGTCAAATGAAACTTAAGTTATGCTCCGGAAAATGTTTTAAGTTTTAAGGTAATAGTGAACTTGACCTTTGACTTTTTGACCCTAAAATCAATAGCGTTTTCTACTAAATATGGACAATCATCCTATGAAGTTTGAACATTGTGGGCCAAAAGGAACTTAAGTTATGCTCCAGAAACCAAATTTCTAACAGACAAATTGCTAACAGATGGAAACTGTTTTCAATATCAAGGTTATAGTGACCTTGACCTTTGACCTTTTGACCCCAAAATCAATAGGGGTTTGTGTACTTAATATGGACAATCATCCTATGAAGTTGGAACATTGTGGGTCAAATGGAATTTTAAGTTATGCTCTGGAAACTGTTTTAAGTTTTAAGTTACTAGTGACCTTGACCTTTGACCTTTTGACTCCAAAATCAATAGGGGTCTTTTACTTAATATGGACAATCATCCTATGAAGTTTCAACTTTGTGGGCCAAATGGAACTTAAGTTATCCTCCGAAAACCAAATTGCTAACAGACGGAAACTGTTTTCAGTATAAAGGTAATAAGTGATCTTGACCTTTGACCTTTTGACCCCAAAATCAATAGGGGTCTTCTACCCAATATGGACAATCATCCTATGAAGTTTGAACATTGGGACAAATGGAACTTAAGTTATGCTCCGGAAACCAAATTGCTAACAGACAAATTGCTAACGGACGGATGGACAGACGCCAGGGGGTATGACATAATATGCCCTTTCGGGCATATAAAAAAGAAAGAAAAAGAATAAAGACTACTTAGACTTCAAACATATTCACGATATAAAATGGATTTTCAAATGATTGACACAGAAGATAACATAAATACCTGATGTCAAGCACCAATGTTCCACTTTCAAAAGGGTCACATGTCTTTGGCACTAGAAAAAGATCAAAATAGACAATTATCAATATCTATATATATAAATATATATATATATATATATATATATATATATATATATATATATATATATATATATATATATATAGGGGAAATCATTCGGAGTCCGAATATCTGAACGTTCGGATCACGATTCGGTGTCCGGAGCCTATTTCGGATCCGGATGTTCATATAAAATATTTCAGAATATTGAGAAAATGTGAAAAATACATGAACATACGTTGAGATAATCGATGTAGACATGGTGTTGACACCATATTGCATATTGTACTTTAATTTGACAATAAACATCATAATCTCTGCAGACCACAAAAAAAATCAATAATTACTATAAAATTATGAGTCGTGTATGACACATGTTGTTAATCTTTTGTATGTTAAACACCAAACAAATTTAAGTTTTGTAGGATTCAAGATGAATATTCTAAGTCCCGTGCGATTGTCATCGGATGCGCAGGCTGGTCTGGATCCATGCTGGTCACAAACACATTATGTTGGTTTTGTCATGACGCGCCTCATATATATTTCGGCTTACCGAGCCGTCAACTCCTTATTTTGAGAAAATTAAAAATCTGCAGAAATAAAATTAGCAAATAAAGAAATGCACTTATGAATAGTTATATGTCAATTATCACAGCTTTTATTATAATTGATGCGATTATCATCCGTCAAAATATCTTTCTCCTTTAGTATTAATCAAACATGTGCCTTTTTTTAAAAACAATTTTTTCAGTTTTTTTTTCACTTATGAACACTTAGAATATGTGTAATTAATGCAAGTTCAGTGTCTATTCTAGGACGCCAGTGTCTATTCTAGGACACGCAATTGCGCGTTTCACGCTAGTATTTCACAGATAGCGCACAATTCAAAATCATGTGCATGAAATCGCGCATCTATAAAAAAGTTAATTAAATCGTAAAACTTCCATCCTGCATTAAATTTGGTCTTTTTGTTTACATTTACACCGGAAACCAAAGGGAAGTAACTGTTAGCTAATTATAGTAATTTAGTACCGTATGGTACTGGTTACGTGAGTTGACGGAAATTAACGGAATGTTCGGTACCAACCGGAACTAGTGTGCTAGGTCTGACAGTTGGGAGCCATTTTAGTGTAGTAAATAATCAAGAAAAATGAGGCAATTCCTAGCTTGGCTACGATCTAGACGTGAAAGATAGGTCTATTGTTTGTATTGTCAATCCCTTTATAATCAATCGCGGCAGTTCTATTTTTGTTTGTTTGTTTGTTTCATTTTACGCCTTTTTCAACAGTATTTCAGTCATATAGGCGGGTAGTTTCCTAACCATCGTTCCTGGAGAGTTACACCAGTACTAGACAACCTTCCTCTGCCCTAAACTACCAAAGCATCTCCCGGGGATCGAACCCACGCCAGAGAGGTAATAATGATTTGTTTTCGTTTAAAAATTAAGGGGGGAAAACTTCCGCTGCCTTAGTTTTAATTATTTCATCGGTTGAACGCCTCAGTTTAAACTTAATGCAGAAGATTTAACATTGGCAGTTTATATTGGCACCCCTTGATTTTGAAAATCGCCCCCTTTTTTGAAATAGAGGGGGAAAAAATCACCCCTATTTTTGAAATCCTAAAATAGACACTGAAGTTTTGGCAACTTCTTTGATGATTCGAATCAAACAGTCAGGTCTACATGTTGGTAAACATCAAAGATTGGCAGATTCTTTTGAAAAGCCTGCTACACACCTGTCAAAGGTCATCGTGTGTAAATTGTATGCATGTTATTGAACAATGGAAACTTTTAATTTTTTGCATAAGTGTACATCTGAGAAACCTTTATGGTGATATTGTAAAGTCTGAAAAATAACTCCATCTGAGAAACCTTTATGGTGATATTGTGATGTCTGAAAAATAACTGCCATAGATAGTCAACAACCATACTTATGACTTAAACCAGATTCACCAGTCAGCCCCTAAAATTTACATGTTATGAAGAATGGAAGCAATGTCCTTGGTTTCATCAAAGTTTTTTTTCAAAAAAATTAATTGATCAACACACTGAGGGTCAAGACATGACCTAGTTGCTGTAACAATATCTCCAGCAGTTGAAAATATACGTTCTGAAGCAACAGAACTTGCTTGTACACACAGGTAATACTTTACGAGCCTAGAAACACGAGGTAACCGGACAGCAATGCCCTTCCAGAACTTCAAGGGATCCTCAAAGGATAGCACTTTTGACTCACATTTGTACATTTCAATTTCCTTGCAAATAAGCTCTTCATTGGAAAGAGGTGGCTCCACCTTTGAAATTTCAATATCATCATCATCTATCAGGAAACTAAGACCAGATCTCATTTTCTTTGCAGGAGATAAAATTGGGTCCTCGTTTTTAGGCTCCACCGAGTCTCGCTGGCTTGGGAGAGCTGGCAATGGTGGTTAGTCTGTCTGTATTGAAGGTTCCTCTAATTCAGATTTTCTGCTGAAAAGCAGTATCTCCCTCCATATGGGTATACAACTTCTTCAGTTTCAGGAGCAATGGATACATAAGCCCTACCGTAGGGTGCTGGTCAGCAGATAGCGCCAGGGTAGCTTGATACATAGGCTCCATTAACTGTAAGAATATCTCCAAGCGTTGAACCTCATCTTGCCCAAGTACACAACTAGCCTGTAGGGATTTTGCTTCATGTTGCTTCTTAATACTTTCATCTGAGACACAGGCTAAAATGGCAAGTTGCTGCTAAAGGAAGCGCTCCACCATGAGATAACTCGAATTCCATCTGGTTTTGACATCGATGATGAGTTTGTTCTCAGGTAGTTGTAGCATTTTTTGCTTCTTTTTAAGCAGAGCAGGGGCAGTGGTACTCCGATGCATAAAGGAAACAACTGACCGGATCTTTGCCAAAATATGATGAACCTCTTTAATATCAAGTGCGCGAGAAGATGCTAAATTTAAGCTATGGGCAAAGCATCCAATATGGATGGATATTCCAGCTGTATGTGCAGCAATTTTCATGTTTGCAGCATTGTCTGTAGTAAGGGCACATACCTGACAACCCCATTGGCGAAGCACGTTTCCAACATGTTCTCCAGTATGAGATTCTGGTAGCTGCCTTGTCTGAAGAACACGAGAACAGAGTTCCATTTCAGAGTCAATGAAGTGGGCTGTGATAGTCACATATGATTGGGTGGCTTGACTTGTCCAGCTGTCTGTGGTCCAGGCTATAGCTTCTGCACTCAATAATTCGCCTTTAATACACGAGGCAACAGAATCATACATTCTTGGAATTACATCTTCACTAAATGATTGTCTGCATGGGAATTTGTAGCGAGGCTCACACTCGTGTATCATGCTTCTGAAGGCGGAACTCTCTACGGTGCTGAATGGGCGCATATCATCTATAAGATATCGGGAAATACCTACAGTTATTCTGTGAACTTTGGATGGAGCCAACTTCACTCTTTGTGCCATGTGAAAGGAATTGCTTGGAGATATGCTAGCAGTTACACAGCTTGCCTCTGTTGCTGACGTTTGTAATTTGACACCTCCTTTAAAAGAAAATAGATTTAGATTATTTTATTTATAAATTTTCACAGATTTATTTATTTATTTATCTATTTATTTATTTATTTATAAACTTGTTATACAGTATACACTTTCATTATTATAAATGTTTCCAATATTTACATTGTACATAAATATTTCCATTTAATAACTATCATCAGTAATTGTAATCATTGTCAGAATGTCACTCATATGGAGTATATTGTAAAGTTCTGTACTAATAATGTTCTGTTCTGTTATTCAAAAGTTCTAAACATATGCAAAACAAGCTTTAAATTTCATTTATTTTACAGTATAATATACGTTTGATATTCCGGTATATTGTTAAAATGAAATGTTCTTTCGCGGGCAATATATAGCATAAATAAAATTATATAGTGTTCAACAGTTCTCTTTTTAGCTTTTGTTTATAAAGTTCACTTTGTCAAATATATTATGAATGAATAAACAAAATATAAAATAATAAATGAAAATAGGATATGCAGGACTAAGGTTTTTAACATAAAAAAAAAATATTAAGTTATTTAGAATATTTAAAAGAGCAGAAATTACCTTTCGACATAGGGAAGGTTCCGTGGTGCCTTTTCATGTACAGTCTATGCTAAGACTTTTACTGAACAGTAGGTCCTGTAAACTGAAAATTTTTACTGGACCAAACATGATTTTACTGGACCGGAAAAAACCCGATTGGTGTAGCATTTTGAGTCACTTGATAAGTGTCAGCAGTCAAAAACTTTGTGTACGAAAAGAAAATTATATTATCAACAAAGTGAAGTTATCTTTCTTCACCACAATCAAAATGTAAACTTAAATATTGTTATACATGTATTCAATGGATTTTGCTATTTAAACTTTAATTCCATACAGACTGTATACTAGCAAAATTTTTAATGAGAGGGTAAATTTCAGCAAAAGTCTGGCATATGTAAACAGAATTATATATATCGGTAATTTAGTGAAGTTGACAGATTAATTGTTCAATGATTTTGGCACCTTCACAGTATAGTTAATTTTTTGTCAACATCTTGGACGATCTTTCATATCCCTAATTCGCTGCTAAACACCAGTTGAGCACACGTGTAATTTAGCATTACTCTAAGTCTGTGGATTAAAGACGTAAATTGTTCCAATTAATACACTGACACTTTCATCTGTGTAAACAAACTAATAGCGGGTGACCTTTCACATCTTGGCCGCTTATGTTATTTACTCGGCCGCTTATTGACTTTTAATTGTACTAGTTGTCGGATATTTTTATCTTACGTTGTTACATATAAAAGTTTGCATTATGAGAATGCATAACAGTTGACAAGCATTGCACGAGCTTATATTGTGTAATGACAACATTTTGATATGTTTTGAATTTAGGTAAATGATCGGCCTTTGCAAAATGTTGAATGTAAGGTTTTTATAAATTAAACCTTAATTTTTTACCGGACCGT